CTGTGGACCAAAGCTTAATGATGGGGGTGGGTGGGGGGGTTCCTGCTGGAGACTGTGAATCTAATTTCACAGCACAGTAGCCGCAACAGAAAATCAAACTCTGTCAGAGCTGCTCTGTCAATCTCCTGTCTTGCAGCTCAAGTTGATAAGTGCACTGCTGAATTGATTTACTCTGCCTACATATTGGATGCACTGATGCTGGGTTTTTTTTTGTTTTTGTGTTTTTTTTTTGCTTTTACCACAGTTACCCCCCACGCCCCCCATCTTTTGGCTGTTCCTGTGTGTTTGATATATGCTGTGTTGGTTTTTGTTTTTCAATATGCATACGATGAATGGAACGATGGATATTTAGCTTTTACTGAAAATATTTTGTTTCCTTAATTTGAGTTTCCTGGTAAGTTAACCAAAAAAAAAAAACTAATACACACAATTAGACAAATAATACTGGTAATTGTTTTGTTTGTTTGTTTTTCATTTACATTTCCCTCTTCTGTGAGATATCTATAAATTTTTGTGTATTTTGTGGTTCACATTTGAGACATGTTTCGACTACAATGGAAATGGAATAGATTTTTTGGCTTTATTTCATTTTCATCCCAAATGATTTCCATTCACAGCAAGTATTGAAATATAATAATTTGTTCATTCACTTGTAGTTAAATTGACATTCAACCATTTATTTGTCTCTTTTCTGTGTGTGTGCGGTGCCCCCAGGTGCAGAACTGAGGGATATAATGACGGGATCAGAGGGCAACAATAGCATCTCAGACGTAGTGAAGCAGCCGGCCTTCATCGCTGGTCTGGGAGGGGCCTGCTGGATTGTCCTCATGGGCTTCAGTGCCTGGCTGTACTGGAGGAGAAAAAAAAGGAAGGGACTCAGCAACTATGCAGGTAAAAAAATCAATTTACATGGTTCTGCATCAACATGGAATCTCATGGAAGCACACTAGGTTTCTCTCTTGGATGAAAGCTGATGTCATCACACATGCGACTCCATTTGAGCTGGCTAAAATGCAGAACAAAGGAAATATATTCAGCACAGATGGAAATAGGCCCTATTGACTTTAATTCACTGTGCACTGATGTGCATCAACTGTGCTGAGTTCCATCAGCACCGCACCTCAACACTCTAATACATTCATGCGAGATAAGTAATTTAACATCCCCTTCCATTATCAGACCATGGCTGGTGTTGTTTGCACATTAACACGAGACGCGTCTAGGTTTACGTATGAAATATTCTTATCCCTCTGTGAGTCAAGCATATAGCTGTGTGTGTGTGTTCCATTATCATAATGTGTATTGCAGCTTTCAATGTAGTGACTTGGGGAGAGAGTGCTGTGATTTCCTAATTCAATAGGGATTTACATGATTGAGTTTGAGCTTCTCTGATCCCTTCTCGCAAAACAAATTGTGGAGTTTAATTCCAAAACACCACATTTCCAGTAAAAAAAAAAAAGAAAAAATGTACAGGATTGGTTAAGATACAAATAATTCTACAACTAAATGTTAAATATCATTGTGCAAACTTAATTTATTTTTACAGTAATGTTAAATACCTAATAGCAGCATTAATTGTTTTATTGTTCTGTTCTGAGGTGAATCATTTGCCAAATAATAACAACTTCCATGCTCCAATTTGTATTTTGGAAGAAATAATGAATTAGAATGATGCAGATGCCCCCCAGGGCAAAATGGGTCAAATGTCTCACCTTCATTTGAACTGTATCCCTCAGGGCAATCAGTGTAATTCAGAAAATGCTGGAATGCAAGTGGTTAGATGAATTACCGCCCCAAGTTTCATTAAAATGTGATCAGTGCTGACATACCACAGGTGATAAATGAACAAAGCAAAGATTAAAGCACCCAATCCGTATTTCCACACCCTTCTACACCCACATTTCATTAATGTTTTTTTGTTTCATATGATTGCATCTTTTTGATTGTAATACATATGATTCATGACAGTCTTATCTACCTTCTAAACACTCTCCCTGTCTTTTGAATTCCAGTCCAGTCCTTCACCTTTACTCGTGCAGGTATGTCTACACATCTGTGCATTATATATTGAAATATCACAGGGATTTAGCTGCCTACATTCTTGACAGCAATAATGTGTGTCATTTAAATGGATGGTGGAACTGTACATTTTTCCACAAAATAATTTTAGTTTAATGTGTTTTCTCTCTGTCCTCCCTCTTTTCTCTACAAGTTACATTCCAAAGAGACAGAGGCCTAATCAGAAATGGAAGGTGAGAATTTAATTTAACTTATAAAAGCCAAGAAACCCTACCGTAGAGCTTTCCCACTGACATTTGACACACGAGTGCCATGCAATGTAATTTGCGGTCTGCCTTCTCAATGAGAAGAGCCTATTGTAATACCTAGAATGAAGTGTTCTTTTCATGATAAATGCGATTTGCATACATGTTCTTATTTCCCACCCTGCTTGCTTATATCAGTTTATGATTTGCACTGATGTACACTTGATGAAATCATTAATCACTCCTTTGAAGTGAGGGCTACCAATTAATGTAGGTGGGCTGCTGTTTTGTTCCCTGGCTCTTGCACAGTTCATCCATGGTTGTTGGCAGAGCGAGAGGTCGTGGGAGGAGGGGAGAGGTGATGAATGTGCTGTTTAAAAAGCTTGGCGAACAGTACACTGTGATGGGTCGTGTGTGGGGATAGAACAACAAAGTGTTGGACCTTGAGACTACACTCGGTCGCCATGAGAATTTTATGGCCTGATCACAATGCCCAAAGTGAAGCCTCCCTTTGTTTCCCCTGAATATCAAAGCGTACTGAATCAACAAGAGAAGAGGACATATTTGCCTTGCAGAAAGCGAAAGAATGAAGGTCCTCTTCTTCTCCTTCACTCCCTCTTTCCTTTTTGTCACACCTAAGCAAGCAGATAAGCCCAGAGCTAGAGCAAATGTTGCAAATAATGGACTAAAAATAAACAGTTTCTTGCCTAACCCCTTTGTGTGCACGTTAGTGCTTCTTCCCACTGTATACTCACACATGTGCTATTGTGTTGGTGTTGGCATGTGCTTCTAAACAAATGTATGTAAATGTATGTAGATGCGTGTGTATTTTAAAATGGAAATTATTGACGTAATTGTTTGAACACCTTTGAGCTATCACCAAGTCAGCTGTGAACAATTCCCTTGACACTTGGTGAATCAGCCTCAGTGAAAAATTCACTGTTTAGCTGCACATTAAGTAAACATATGCAAACAGGATACAAGAAGCATGTGAATGTTGTGCCATTTTTACAGCAGCTGATACGAAGTGGTTGTAAATTGTCTTTGTTTCTCCCTGAATTGCTGCCCACAACTTTCCTACCTTGAAGTCAAAGCCTGTATTCATGACCGTTGTATTTCACTAAGACAAAATGACACGGTAGCTTCCCTAAACCACCTAATGGGCTTTTGCTGTCTCTGTTGCTATGGAGACAGTGCACCAGTGTAGCTGATCTGCCAGAGGCTGTCCATGATTCTCAATTTAAAATGTAAATTTCTGTTGTGCTAAGGCTCTAAAGTGGATTTAGTGTGTATTTAGGCCTGCCTTGTATCTCCGGGGAGAGTAAGGGGTGGTGGAGTTAAGGGGAGGCAGAAGTCTGATTTATAGACTTGCCATTTTATGTCTCTCTGTTGTTTATTGTCGCCTGTGCGCCGGGCTGCTCCACAGGCGAGAATATGCTGAATGAGTTTTCACATCAATTTGTTGTTGATGCAGCAGGAAGAAAATGAGCAATACTGTTACGGTGCGGGCCGGATGCTTAACTATGTCACCAGTTCTCTGTCTTACCCCATCTCTCCTCTGTTTGTCTCTCTACAAACACCCCCTCGCAGCCGTCCGGGGCTGTTAAAAGCGGGTGACCCAGGCCTCCCCTGGTTGGCTGACTCCTGGCCCTCCACAAGCCTCCCAGCTAATGGGGGCTTGGGGAGTCCGAAGGGCGGCAGCAACTTTGGCCGAGGAGGTAAGAAACATAAACAGACTGGGGCAACGGAAAATACAGTTCTAGCAATGCCCAGTCAGACAGTTTTGATGTTCATCCATTGGGAAGCTCAGTGACAGGACATCACACATAAGCAGGCACACACAAACAAACACACACACACAAATTAAAAGAGCCTTTGAGGGCAATCCTTTACTAATGTGATTTGACAAGCCTGATATTTGGATTAAGTTTGTGCTGTTTGCATATACTTTTTGCCTCTCATTCTCTCTCATGCCCCGCCAATTGTGCACTTTTCGACGTTGTATGAGATTGATAGTTTTGATAGATGTGTTTGTATTGTGTATTTGTGTGTTTGCATGTCCTCTCAGCCCATTGGAACCCTGGTGAGCTGCAGGCTTTATGTGTGCAAGACAGTAGAGCTGAAGGTTAGCGCTGTTTGAATATCCCTTTTGTGAACACTCACCGGGCTCCCACAGCGTGTTGCATGCTAATTATGGTTGTAGATAATCACTTTCATTTATATCAAGTCCATTTGAGACCTGTATTTAACTAATACAGAGTGCCAGAGCAGCAGGGAGTGTTAATGACCTTAAAGATCGTTAACTTCATGTCAACTTATCTCTCCATGATCCCTTTTCCCTTTCCCTCCTCATTCTGTCACCCTTCTTTTTTGTCTCAGATGTTTTACCGTCCGCAGCGGTGGAGAAGACGGGCACCATGCTGTCTGATGGTGCCATCTACAGCAGTATTGACTTCATGGGGAAGGCAGGCTATAGCAGCCCAGCACGAGGCAGTCAGCCCACCCCCTATGCCACCACTCAGATACTCCAGTCCAACAGCTTCCACGAGCTGGCTGTGGACAGGCCAGATCCCCGCTGGAAGGCTTCTCTCCAAGCCCAGCAGGAAATAGCAAACCTGGGCTACTCGCTAACTGACAGACGCCCTGGCAGTGGTACGAGCCATGATAAAGACAGAGCTCAATTCTGTGTTGTTTTTTGTTTGTTTGTGGTGTGATGTTTGCACTCTTGTGTATTTATCTTGGGTATCTGTGGACTTCATTTTGCCATAACATTCCAGGTAGTAGTTTTATTTTTCTGGGAAGATTTACCACAAACTCCAGGAAAAGAGAAAAATGAAAAGGAGGGAATTTATTAACTTAGAATGGACCCTTAGGATAATGTTCTTAATTACGCTTCTGTCTTCATCAGAATTCTACCCTGAGAGCTCATCTAGCCCAGAAATGTCACACAATCATGACACATTTCTTTGGGTTAACTTGATTAGTGATGGCGGAAAATCCCCCAGTGTTCTGAGTTATTTATTCAGTGTATATACATTTAGTAAAGTCATGGAGGCATTTCTGTCTGTACTTTCCATAGTCTTGCACAATAGGCTGTGTGCTAGAGCTAAATGTCAGACTTACCAGAGATAAAGAAGAACAAGTGCAGAAGCTGTATGGAAGCAACTTAAAGTGGTTCGCTGCAGGTTTTGATGCCTCTTTAAGAAATGTCAACATTTGGAAAAAGTCCTAATGCGCTGTCAGCACACAAAAAGGAGAAATAATGAACACTGGGTGGGAGACAGGCTTGAAAAAGTTCAGATAGCAGAGACAGATAGAAGATAGCTTTCAAGGCAGTGCTGTGTGTTAGAGTGTGTGAATTCAGTGTAGAATAATGTCTGTTTGTGGAGCGTGCAGGGATTTTTTAGTGCTGTGTAGAGTCGACTGAACTCCCTTCCCTCTTTACCTACCCCCAGGTGCAAAGGTTGGGAAGAAAAAGAAGGTGAAGGGTGGAACAAAGGGCTCTAAATCAAATGGGACATGTTGGGCTAACATGCCCCTGCCTCCACCACCGATGCACCCTCTCCCTGGTACCGAGGTTGAACTTGACCGTTACCCCCAGGAAAACCACGTAGGAGGGTAAGATACGTTCATATCTCATCAATCTCGGCCCTGGAACAGATGCACACAAACACAAAAACACACGTCGACAGAAGAAACACATGCAAACACAGAGGTCACAATATCCTGCACCTGTGCCCAGAGTGTGTGTGTGTGTGTGTGTTATTTTTCATCAGTGTTTTAACAAGAGCTTTACACACTTCACATAATGCTGAAATAGACCTTAAGCTGCCTATTTTCTTAACATAGAAAAACAAAAATAGGTTTTCTAATAACTTGCCAGCCCATTTAGACTACAATAGTCAGTTTGAGCAGACTTCAGGATCTTAAGATAGCGACCAATTGAAAGTGGTGAGAATACCTGTGTATAATTAAATTAAATGTAACATATTTCCTTCAACATAAATATACAATCAGCTGTTCAGCAAAGTCAAGGTGATGATTAAAGGAGAAAACTTCTCGTCCACATGACAGGTATGACAGCAACAGTTGGGCTCCGCCCATGTCTGTCCAGACCTATCGCCACCAGAATCTGGACAAAGAGGTAGAGGAAGAGAGAGGTCCCACTCCCCCCCTTAGAGGAAGATCATCCTCACCGGCAGCACCCTTCAACCAGCCCTCATCTTCCTCTCTCAGCTCCGCCCACCACGAGGAAATGCAATCCATTCTGCAGGCCCACTTGGACGAGCTGACCAGAGCTTACCAATACGAGGTGGCCAAGCAGGCATGGTAAGGATCTTTTAAAGCTCCAGTCACCTACATTTTGAGTCCACCTTCCTTCTATAATTTGATTTGATTTGAAAAAAACTTGTGTGCCATTTAGATCATTTGAAAGCCTTATACTGTGTGTGTGTGCATCACAGTTTTGTTCAAATATGTTTGCTTTGCAGAGTAGGAGAGATACCTGTAATTTTATTCATTTTATTCTGTTGATAGTTTTGGTTTTGCATATCAATGGCCAATGTTTGAGCGTCTTATAATGCTGGTATTTACATGTGTCAGCCTGAGCCTGCAGTCTATGTTTCTTGTAAGCGATAAAAACAGCTCTCCATTGATTACACCTTTGATGGAGCATTGGAAAACTTGACAAGTCAGTGGCGACACGTGTTGGAGGGTAATGACTGGGTTTAGTCTAACATGCTGTTCTGACATCAGTAAATAGAGTTGGTAATTATGCATGCATCTCCTCTATGGCGGGATGTGAGCCATCATGGAGGACAGCTGTGGGGGAGATAACAGGCATGTTGGTGACAGCCCTGCCCATCCAGATATCCTTTATCCAGTCCAATTACAACTCTATTGTGTTAGCACAACACACACCAGCACTGAGAAAGTAATCAGTGAAATCACTGCAGGCATTCATAGTCTCTGCATTGCTACCTTATTGAATATGCACTGATTCTGCATCCTGAAACATGTTTTGGACTATTTTCCCTGCTCATTAATCTGACCTCCGTTAGTTATTTTGCATCTATTTTGTTCATTAATACACTGTATTTCCCCACAATTAATTAGGCACATGAAGAGCAGTCCAAACGTGTCCAACACCCCCATCCCTCCGATGGACTTCATGTCCAGTACACTGGGCTCTGATTTGGGAGACACTCTCCTTTCTGAAGAAGATGAAGAGGAGGAAAGATACGCTATGGTGTCAAAGAATCTGTGTGGCTTTGAATACACTCCCGGTCACAGCGTGGATAACCTTGAGGGCTCAGGTATGTTTTGCATTTGGTAAAACTAATTTGACTGAAGTAACTGCTTTTAAATGAATAGACCACCGGTGTCACTGACAGTCAAAAAAGCAGGCCCACATTACCTGGCCTAATCACTGCATCATTCTTGCTGCACAAACAACAAATGTGGCCAATGCAGCTGCAGATAGATAAATAATGATAGATGACGTGATATGGCCACATTATGTATTAATATATGCTAATGAACTTCAACAATGGAAAATATTCACAACGAATGTATAAAAATGGAAAATAAAATGTAGTAAAGGAAAATGTTGGATGTCAGAGGTACAAGTACATATTCAGCTAAAATATCGTACTGTTTTTAGCTATCATTTTGATTGATTATTAATACAAAAATACATGTCTTAACCGCATCACAGAATACGGAGATTAATCCTTGTGTGCCTTACATGGATTGTTTTATAAATAAAATAGGTTTGTATTAGAATATTTAATGCAGATGTGAAAAATAGCTGTGGATAGATCATGAAAAAATGCAGACATCTTGCTTTTTTCCCTTCCACGTGTAGCTGAAGAGGCTGCAGCCACTCAGCCCAGCTTCCCTAGGAATTTCATTCCTATCGGACGATTTTGCAATAGATGATTTAACTCCCATGACAATGTTCAGTGCCAGTGCAGGAAGAAGTGTGTTCTTTATGTAGCAGGGCAAAAAGCCATGACTACAAGCTTTTCCTAACCAAGCTTTTCAGTTGCCATGCACATATATTATTATAAATAATGTAAAAGAAATGGTCAAAAATGCAATTTTTTAACATAATCCAGGGTTTTGCAGAATCGTCCAATATCAACGTGCTGTCTGCCAATAGGGTTCAGACCACTGAGGCTGAAAACACAGTCTGTTGGCTGGCTGAGCTATAAACCTACGGACACACTGCATAGAACAAAGACCATGGCACACAGTGGCCCGTTTAATTCAAACACATACAAGCCCCCACACGCTAGTTTAGTGGTTGTCTTTTAGAATATTACATAGCAGATTGGGAATGTTTATGTAGCCAGCAGGGACAGTGATTGGCACTCATAGGGAATGTACAATTTAGTGTAATATAAAACAGTTTGATAGGCTCAAGATCATTCAGATTATGCGACTAAAATATGGGTACCCTTTTTTTACTGTAAGTATTCTCTGTCAAAGAGATATTCACACAGTCTTTTAATAGTTAGTTGAATCAATTCTTGCATAGACATCAAAAGCACAACATAGAATATTTTAAAAACTTTAGTAGTGCCGTGCTTAAAAGTCACACGTCTAACATTTAAGATTTGATGCATTTATAAATAGGGTCCTGTCTGTTTCTTTAGAGGGAAACTTGAAGGCTTCTCCACAGGGACAGAACTGTGCCATTTTTAGACTCCATTGTTTGATAGGTTAACAGATTGACTTGTGCATTGAGAATATGTGTTTTCAATATTTTTGATAACTCGTTGTGGGGCAAAATACAGGTCAGTGTGACTAAAAATATTTACAAACAATTAGCAATGCAAACATTTTATCGCCTCATGCTTAGCTGTCACATATTATAAGGCATTGTATTAGAAGTGTATTCGGGCACATTGAGGAAATATCTTCAGCCCAGTGAAACAAATCATGAACAAAGCCAGTGTGGCAGCAGCATTTCCACAGGGGGTGCCAAATTGCAGCTGTGGCTTAAAATGTGTTTGTTACATATTTCCATGCTGTCTGACTTAAATAAACATTCAAACACTGCTCAAGATTTTGAACTTCATACAACTTATATTGCTCCATGAAAGAAAAATGGTTCTTAAGGCAATCTGATTAAAGCATTCATTAATACTATTCTCTAAGAAAGTATGCTAAGTAGTACGTTTGAAGGATTTATAGTTCATTTCCACAAAATCCTGTGTGATGGAATCAGTGTATGAATCATTTTTACACCTCTTTTCAAGATGTCACATGTAGCCCAGTATCTTAAACACAGATTTGACATAATATTTCAATCGATTACATACATCCACTGTGTGTGAGCCAAATATTTGTTAAGGCATACTTAGCCAAATCCTTATCTTCACAAACTCTCTCTCTCTGTGCTGCTCACTGTAGGTAAAAGCTCGCAGCAGTGTCGCTCAGACAGCTCCGGCACAGCAGACCATGATGCACAGGGCACACATAGCCTTGGCCACAAGAGGGCCCCACTGACTGGCCTCAAGCCGCAGACAGACAAGGTCGGGACTCTGCCCAGACGAAGAGACACCAACACAGATAGTGAGTTACAGTCTCTCTTACAGTAAAATTGTGTAACTTCAACGAGGAGTGCGTCTAACACAATGCCTCATTTGCATCCTTTGCTAAATACTCTCATCCACCATCCACTCAACAGCCCACACACCGGTCATGAAGTCCCTGCACAGTGTTGGTTCCCGCATGCACAGCTCGTGGGCAGCTGCAGCCTCAGACCCCTCTGAGGAGTGCATGGTGACCGTGTCGACACTGGAGCGGCAGCATATGGCTTCCTGGAGCGGCACAACAACATCCAACAGGGCCACCCTGAGCAGGGGTTCCCACAAGAGACCTGGCACAGATCCCTCCCACAACGGGCATCCTCCCACAAACAGCACAGAGAAAAGGGAACACTGTGAGTGTCAACCCTCTTGAGAATGTGTCTGTGTGCATATTACACATAATGGATGTAATCCAATGCAAGCAAGTGCTATCTATATCTGCTGAGAGAAATTATATGGTTTTACTGAAACTGTCTTTATATTTTATAGAGAACATAATAAAGCTTAATTTTCACCCAAAACAGCATACTTTACAGAGTGAAGTCACCTCTGTAAATTGGGCCTTTACTTTTTTTTTTAACAATAAACAATTAATTTGCAAAAAAAGAGAAGACAATACACTTCTGTACTGTATACATCTCAATAGAGAAAAATGAGATGACCAAGACAATCAGAATTGTAGATCTGGAAGAATTATGCTCAGCATTTGCAATAAGAAGGAAAGTTGTTGAATCCTACCAGTTCCTAGCTTGCCTCCAAACTGAGATACATCCCAGGATTGTGAAATTGAGATGCAGATATTGAGAGTAAAGTATTCAATGTCACCAATACTTTACATGTTTTTTTGGTGTGTCTACCTGCCTCTCTTTCAGAGTCTTTGTGAAGCATCATTCCCTGCAGTTGCTGCCTGTCCCAGGACACCTTGTTTGTAAGCGCTATGAGATTTTCTCTCTGCGAGTGACACAGAATGATGTCTGGAAGACGGAAAGGAGACAGAATGAAGACAAAGAAGCAGTGTGCGAGATAAAATGCAGAGCTGTAAATGTCATGTACAGACACAGACACCAGTCTCACAGTGTTATTTTCATCCCCCTCTTCAAAAGAGTAAACAGTATGTTATATGTCCGCTTCTATTTTCTGTCACATGCTGTACAAAGATTCACACAGTGGAGATGAAGAAGAAAAATCACAACAAAATGACTAATTAAAATGAAAAAAGACTTGCATAATTTGTAAATATATTTTTTAATGTTTTTCTCTTTCTTTTGCTTTGCTATGCAAGCCAAACCCAATGTTGTATCTTTTGTGATTTATTACTGTGAATCATTTTTCATTAATGCTCAAACTGTTAGCTTATTTTGATGAAGCTACTGTATTGTTGTACTTTGCACAGAGCGTTTTGGTAAAAAAAAATAAGCACAAACTCATTGTCAGCTGAGCTGAGGAGGAGAATCAATAATGGCAAAGAGGGACGTCTATGTTAAACAGAACCTAAACAAAAGATATATACTTGGCTGTGCTGTATTGTTTTGAGAAATACTCATATATTGAGAGTTACAAGGGAAAAAACACAGTTCATTACTTGGAAATTATATGCCAATATAACAAACTGTTTCATACTACTTGCTGGGAATCCTATTATGCATTATACTAACAATGGTTCTCAGTGAATGGTTACCAAAACATTTTTTATGGTAACAAAGCAACACATCAGTTGTGATATCCAAAGCAAAGACATAGAAAATAGGTATGTGTCACTTCTCTGCCATTCCCAAAAAGAGTATGTTAATAAAAAAATGTCTATATATTTGTTTTGGTAATTATTTTCCAATTACGTACAGTGACATAATGCTAGTGCAATATTGAAAGGGCAATATGACAGTAAAGGGAAATGTCCTGATGTTACCTGAAGACAAATGAGATGCAGAGTTTAACGACAGCTATATATGATGTTAAACATCAAAGAAACTATACTAGATTTGTTCTTGTGTATTACACTGTTCAATGGTTATGGATTTACACTATCACTTTACAAAGATGTATAGACTTGAACGACTGCCAAATTTGAACATCTTTTGAAACCCTTTTCCAGTTTTAAAATGCAGCCAATTAGCATTTTCTGCCAATGAGATTCTCAACGCCATATCTTTACACTTGTTTGGATGATTTTGTTCTGGTCGTTATGGCTCTCCCTTTGAAGAATCTTTACCTGCCAGATTGGTTTGCCCTCAGGAATACACAGCCACATACAGTAGGGCAGTTTTTCAATCCTTTGATGCAAAATAAAATGTGTATGTGAAAATGAACCAGATTTCTCCTCACAGTGCCTATGAGTCTGACACGGTGTTTGCATTCACACACGTCCATTTTGGAATTTTGAAAATCCTTGTTACACTTGGTTTCTTTATGTCTCTTTTTTGATATCTGATAATCTTGATAATCTTAAAGAGCAGACACAGAATAAAACAATATACTTTTTGATTTATAAAATATACACATTATCACCTGTGCCTAAACAGTTATCTTTCTTTATTCAAATTCTCCATGGGATTCTATAAACCACCAGATATATGTGGTTTTAAGGCAACATGACCATTATTTTTATTTTTTTAATGGCTCACACAGGTGCTACAGAGTTAAAGGATGGTCTGTTGTGCTGGGTTGTTCTGACTTTATTGATCCTCTGTGATTCTGTTTCTCAAAGACAGCTCATGGCAAAGGTCAGACAAAATATCAACACAGTGTACTGATAGCTTGCAGCAAATTTGATTTAACAGAGCGACATTTCAATCTATCCGAGATCTTCATCAGGCATTGTCAAATAACCATCACAAAGCAGAACAAGATAAAGATGTGGAATGTCTCTTTTTAGAAGATGCTCTGGATGATTGATGGGATTCATGCTTTTGTATAATATTTTTCTTAATGTTTTTTCTATGTTTGCCTTTTCCATAGAGGCATGCTTCGTCCCCTAGATTGGAGTATCAGATGCAATCCAGCTCTGCTCTGATTGGTCCAGTCTGAGAGTAGATTGACTCTCAATCATGCAGATCACAACCACCTGAGTGATGAATGTGTTTGTGTCTATATATTGCTTGTTCTGCTTTGTGATGGTTATTTGACAGTGCCTGCTGAAGATCTGTGTTAGATTGTCAGGAGCTATCAGCACACTGTGTTGATCTTTTGTCTGACTTTTGCCTTCAGTTTGTTTTTTTTTATTTTTTGGATGTCCCTGCACACTGTGTCAAAGGCAGCTTATAAAATCTTTTAAACTCAAACAACAATCCACAAGGTTGACCGACGTCCCTGGTCAAAAAAACATTTCTTTTTTTACTACAGCCTAACAAGTTCCTTATTCAACTTATTATTCCATGACAGATGAGCCAGGTGAAGCTGAAAGTCATTATGTTATCTCTGGGCCACTTGACAGCTCTCTTAGCGCAGATCTGGACAGCACTGGGGAGAATAGCTTCAGGTGCAATAGGTGCCCAGTGTGGGACACCTTGTCAATATTTGTATCTTGAGACAGACAGACGGGGATTAGGATTGTCTGCAGATATTGTGCAGGGGGCACCATGTGCAATCCACCGTTTAAGCTTTAAATCCTACTGGTTGGGTCTCCAGAAGTGCTATGGGGACAGAAGAGTTTGTATTGCGTACTCGGTTCTATACCCACTTTGACAATTTGGCTGTCCTGAAAAGACCCCCCTCCCCCGACACAATACCGCCACCAAATATTATATAGTCCTCCTAAATTACCCAGCTTGTAGTACATGTGGATTTAATGGAAGAAGGGAAATACATAGTCGAGCCCACAGAGCCCAATTACAAGGCTTCACCTGCATTCACAGAGTCACAGTTCTGTCTTATAAAGATGTAGCTTAATATAATGGTCTTGTGTGGTCACTTTATGGGGTGTTGTGGTTTTGGTTGGATGGAAAAGCAGTTTCCTGTAACTGCTTTTTACAGCTGAGACATTTTTTCAGCACTCAGGGGAACAATTTGGCCTCAAACTGCTTCATTTTTTTGGACATTGCTTCAAAAAATGGGAAAATAATGGGGATCCTTTTTCTACAGAAAGCACTAGTGGTAATAATGACAGTAAAGCATAGGAGGCCATAATAAATCAATACGTTATTTAAGATTTAAAATTATACACACAGCCCATTATGATGATTTTACTCTTTGAGAGATGGTAGAACAACAATGGAAAAAGCTTAAACAAGTGCTTAATTTAATTTGTAAAATATCAACGTGCTAAAAATTAAAGGTGTTGATATTTAAGAGCGTTCTCGTTGTTTGGAGGTTTGGATACCACCGTATGATAGAGTATAAGATTCTTGTTTTTTAGTGTGTTTGTGTTACCTCTTCAGTCTTAATATAAAATTCATGCTGTTTCTTTAAACTGGAATACTGGGAGTCAGCCAGGTCAGGAGCAGGAGAGCTGCTCTGTAGCTGACCCTAACCTTTTACCTCTGTGTAAGAGAAGCAAAAAGACAGTTTCACCTTTGAGGACTTTTAGTGAATTTGCCAGGTTGAGTGTTTTATTATATTTTATACTCGTAACAGTAGGTAGACACAATAAGAATTAAATTATTTGTAGCAGATTTTATGACACACTCGCAAATAAATCACGTAATTCATCTAAAGACATTGTGAATACGCACTTCAAACTCAGTGTTTTTTGTCATTTTGCAGGTGCATTTGCCACCCAAATTAGCCAGATGAAGATTTTGAAATAAAAGTAATTTAAACAAAATCAGTCAATGTTCCCTGGAAGAGGGGCTTTCTGATTGTGGTTGCAACAAATAACATGAACAAGAATAGTAAACCACCATCTTATCTGGGTGAACTGGTAATTAAATGAAAATAAAAAATTACTGCAGTTTACATGAACAAAATCAGCCTCACACAATTCAGACAGCAGTCATATTTATTCAAGATGTAACAACATGCAAAAAATATTAGCATATTTACTTACAGGATCTCCGTATCCATTGTGCCACAATCGCAAATGAGGAGCCAATTTTAGACATAAATGTCAGATTCATACGTTTTCAAAGGAAATGTAGACAGTGTGATTACAGAGCTTGTAAAGCTCCTCTGTATATTTTGAAACACGATCCAACATTATGAAAATATGCAAAGTAGGCTTTTATATTACACAGTGATATCTCAGGCAAGAGACCCAACTCCATTCACCATACTGTATTTTGTTTAGTCTTTTAATACCACACATAACCGTCAGACTTTACATACAGTGAATAGTAGTCTACATGAACTGCTGTAATATCTTACTCTGCAAATATTTATTATTGCTGCTTTAAAGGAAGACAAAAGGGAACCATTCACTCCTTTTTTAGAACTCGAGAT